CGTCAGCGAGCAGCGAGCAGCGAGCAGCGAGCAGCGTGCGGGAAGACAACTATTTGCACCCCCCCTTCCGCGTCAGGTGGTGGGTGCTCCCGCCTGCGCACGTGGTTGTGTGCTGCCCCTCTGCACTTCCACATGGCAGCTTGCTGTGGATCTTGAAGACCCCCCTGGCTAGGGGGCTGCACTACAGTGCCATCTGGTTGGCTGATCAAGATCTCAGGCCACCCCATAAAAAAAAAATTTGCAGTGTCATCAGGCCAGCAGCAGCTTGAAGGTGGTAGTGCTCTGCTCTTGGCCACCCAAGAGCTCGGTATCACCATCCTACCCACTAACCTACTCTCCCCCAACCCCTTTTCTCTCCCCCCCCCCATCATCTAATCATCTTTTCTAACCCTACCACTACACTCTCCTCCTACCTCCCTCTTCACTCATCTTCCACAACATTTTTCTCTCCTTTCCTCCCCACTCACCATCTTCTACTAATCTCATATACTCCTCTCCACCTTTTCTGTATCCTTTTCTCCCATTCTACCACCTTCCTCTCCTACTTCCCCCCCCTATCTACATTTCCATCATTTCCCTCATCTCCCCCTTCACTCTTTTCTCTTTCTCACGTATTTCTCACTTTTTTTTTTACTTTTTCATCCCCCTTTCCCCCCAACTTCGAAAATTTTCTGTTTTTCTTTTCTTTTCTCTTTTTTTTTTCTTTTTTTTTTCTTTTTTTTTTCTTTTTTTTTTGCCCAAGGCTTATATTTACATAGAACCAGAGACCGGGGTCCTCACAGTCTACCTGGAAAAGAGACATTTTGAGAGCATTACCCAATTTTGCTTACAGGGGAAAACCCTGCAGGGGACCAACCCCCTGGAAATGTAACAACTGCAAAACATAAGAGGTTAAAAAGTAGCTTTCTGTTCCTTTTCTTTGTTCCTAAGTAGTTGAATCCTACTCTTAAGACCTCTCAACCAAAAGGCTGCCTGAATAGAGTGAAACTCTAGCCTTACTGATAGGATTAAGGAAACCATAGAAATGGAACCGAATTAACATCTAGCTGGGAGACGGGACCAGCGTCCCCTTCATGGGTTACCACACAAAGAGAGTGATTGAATTAAGCAAGTGTCAATGGAAAGGAGAGGGGGACTGGCAACTTGCTCCTGCGGACGCTCAGCTGAGAGAATTACGAACAGCTCAATATTTTTCTTCTTTTTATCTTTCATTTTTATTTATATTTCCTCCTTTTTCCAAAAATTCGAATTATCTTATTCCGCACCTTCTTTTCTCATTTTATTTTATTTATTTATTTATTCTAAAAATTCAAATTTCTTTGCGGCACCCTCAAATCTGAGTAGGAGTTAGTCATTCTTGCTTTCGGCACACATTTTGGTCCCGTAAGGATAACGAAGTGCTACTGAAATTTTCTGTTTTTTTTTTTTACTTGGACTTTTTCAGCACATTTTGACCCTTTGGGGATAGCGAAGTGCTAACAAAATTTTTTAATTTTACTTAATATTTCTTTTTGACGGCACACTTCGACCCCATGGGGGTAACGAAATGCTGCCAAAATTTTTGAAAAAAAACAACACTTAGTTTCTCTTCACCTCCTCATCTATGGCATTGTAAAACTAAGTGTGTTTCTCTTGGTCTCTCCTTCCTCTTGGCACATTCTTGACCCCATGGGGGATAGGGAAATGCTGTCAAAAACTCCAAAAAAATAAATATCACTTCTCTTTTCACATTTTGTTTATTTATTTCTTTAATTAGTTTTATTATTATTATTATTTTTTTTTTATCTCGAAATTTCACTGTTTATTTTATTTTCTCTTTTCCTCCCCTCCATGGTTATTATTTTCTTTTCTTGATTAGGTCGCCGCTACCCTCCCCTAACCACCCAAGCCCTGGTTAGGGTTTTCTTAGGGTTTTCTTAGGGTTTTTCTAGGGTTTGGGGTTGAACTTCTCCTAACCCCCCTACTGTCCCACCTCCTCCCGTCAGGCACAAACGACTCCTCTCCCCTCGACCGGATTCGTGCCACCATCTCACGCACGACCCGCTAGTCACAGTGTCGGTACGAATACCCTTCCAAGGGTATCCGCCCTGGTTTTTGCCAACGGCAAAAAAAAATAATAATAATAATAAGTTTGGTTTAAAGTTGAGTATACTGCGCGAGGCGCGGCAGTGTCTGTGGTTTACGTTGACTGGATGATTGGCTAAGGTAGAGAGCGTGTGGACGCACAGACTTAAGGTGCAGGTGATCTTTTTTTTGGTTGATGTTTGTGAGGCCGGCATAGTTGCCGGCCAAGTTTTTTTCTTTTTTCTGATTAAACTAGGATTAGAAAGATGTTGTCTCCTGATTGATATCCTTACTTATGACTTGTGTGTACGTGCGGAGGATGACATCGACAATACCGTGGTTTTAGAAACGTTTCGGTGGATCTGCACGTCGTTCAATATTAGTTTATTTAGGTGTCCGTCAAAGCTAGACCTA